ATGAGTCAGTTTTCTCCAGAGAAATGGCACTAATAGCATATGTGTGTCTGTGTGTGTGTAGAGATTTAAGGAACTGGCTCACGGGATTGTGGGGCTGGCAAGTCTGAAATCTACAAGGCAAGATGACAGGCTGGGGACGCAGGGAAGAGATGATGTTGCAGCTGGAGTTGGAAGGCAGTCCTGGGGCAGAATTCCCTCTTGGGAGACCTTTCTCGCTTACGGCCTTCACCTGATTGGACGAGGCCCACCCACATTACAGAGGAGAATCTGCTTTACTCAAAGGCTGCTAACTGTAGTTGTTAATCACACCTAAAAACTATTGTCACAGCAACATCTAGACTGGTGTTTGGTCAAACATGAGGGCACCATGACCTAGCCAAGCTGATACATAAAGTTGATCATCACAGTCTGTTATAAGTTTTTGCAGGGATGTAGTCAAATGCTACTTTCTGCAGCATGACCGTTGCCTTGGGGTTCTGAGCCTAGACACCACTGAGCTGCAGGTGTGGAAGTACTTGGGCGGTCTGAGGGGACTTGGCTTGTTTACCTACCTGCGAAGCTGTCTCTGGGTGGAGTTCGCTGGAGGTGTCTGCAGGGGAATCTAGGCAGCAAGAGAGGGTAAAACCCTACTTTCTGGAGCCGACTGTTTCCTGAGAAGCCATAGCTGGGGGGGGGGGCAACATCTGGAGTGGGTTTCACCTCCTTGCCAGGGAATGCACCTGCAGGAGTTTTAAGTTGAAAGCAAATATATGGAGGGATGTCCGGAGCGATGGACAGGCTTGCTGGTTGAGAGCTGATGCTGACATTCTTGTTGCCTTAGCTTGTCTACATTTTCTGTTTTCTTCCCAACAAAACACAAAGACAGCTCATAGGTCATAATAATCCTGTGCAAAAGCAACTTTGGTGCTATGAGCTTCGTGGGCACGTGTAAAGTTCACTTGGCTGGCCCACGTGCCGGATGCCAGGCACCTGGGGATCAGAAAGCAAGCACACAAGAGTCCTATCCTGTCTTTGGGGGGGGGGGGGTTATCCGGCCCCCTGTGAAGTGGACGCTTCCACGCCGTGCTGCCGAGACCTCCAGAAATCGTGGCTCACTATCTCGCTGCGGTGGAAGAACCCTGACCCGGGGTTGGCTTGAGGCCTGATGCGCCGGGGACCGCCTGCGAGGCTGCATACTTCCCCAGCCACCTGCCGGGAGCCGGGCGTGCTGTGGGTGTCTGGGCCTGGACCGCAATGTGTCAGATGCAAGGTGATCTGAGCAGAGTGCCTCCCGCTGCCCACTCCAGACTCACATGAAACTCTGAGGGATCTTCGGGAGACCCGTGCATTCAGCTCCTCAGGAAGCTTTTCCTCTTTTCCCTGATAAAGAAGACTGTTGGAGAATATAACTCTGGAGAAATTTTAAGTTTTTTTTTAAAGAGAGCGAGTGAGCGGGGGTGGGGAGGGGCAGAGGGAGGGAGAGAATCCCAAGCAGGCTCCGCACTCAGCATGGAGCCCGATGCGGGGCTCAATCCCACAACCCTGAGATCATGACCCGAGCTGAAATCCAGAGTCATATGCCCAACCGACTGAGCCACCCAGGTGTCCCGACTCTGGAGACATTTTAAATGCTAACTCTAATATCCACCCGGAGTCATAACAAAACCACCAACTTCTCTTGCTCTTGGTTAGAAGGAAGTGAGCGCCAGGGTCACTGGTCCCTGCCCTGTCTGTATTCAGCTTCCAGGAAGGATGTCTCAGGAATGACCATCTGCTAGAAAAAGAGACTCAGGAGAATTCTTCCAAATACTGAAATTTATAGATAGCATAGGGAATTAAATATGAAAAAAATCACCTCTTATTTGAGGCCATGGGGAGCTGTGGGCATGGGCTCCCATATCTCCTGAAGATGCAGGGCACCTGCCTCCCAGCAAAGCCCTGTGGACTCGAACCTTCGCTCTGAGTGAGAGACTGGATGGAGAACAGCCTGGGAAAAGTCCCACTCAGAGGGGGCAGGAAACTCTTCCCCTGGTCACCCCTTGGCGACCAGGCCGACTCTCGTCTCTGCTGCCTGTTTGATTCCCAAGGAAGCCCTCCCCAGAGCCAGGGATGCAGCCTCGGGGCTCTGTCTGAGCTGTGAGCAGTAGTATTAGCCCTGGAGAGGCCAGCATGGAGTGGGTGCTTTGCAGGCTTAACCGTTATAGCCACGGGGCGCCCACAGGTGTGGGGTTGTCTTGTGCTTGGGCCCCCAAGTTACTGCTTGGTGAGGTCACACGCACAGCCGTTGTTCCCGAAGCTTTCTGCTGTGTCAGCGCAGGCTGGGCCCTGGGCCGTCTGGCACTGGCCGCTCTGCCCCCGGGCACCCCTCTCCCCCTTCCCCGTCTCCCTTCCCTGAACTGAACTGGTGGAACTGGAGCTTTACTTGCACAAGGGTTCTCTGGCCTTGATGGGGCAGGGAGCGCTATGTCTGCTCCTAGGTGAATTAAGGACAGGCACCGGAGAGTGTCCACGGAGGCGGGGGCCGGGAGGACGGGGGGCAGCTGGCTGTGCTGTGGGCCGCGGGGGGCGGAGCAGGGAGGGAGGCCCCTTGCTCGTGCTGCATTCAGAAGTGAAGCGTGTGCCTGGGCCCGGGGCTCCCTGGGTGGCTGCGGGGGAGGCCGCTCCCCTGCAAGTATGCAGCGCCCCTTCTGCCAGCTCCGTGCTCTCTTTTAGGGTCTGGATGGGGGGGTTCCACTCCGTTAGCAGATGAGGTTTCCCAACTTAGCTAGAGCGGGCTGAATGGTGGCTCCCCAAACTCCCACCCTCGCTCCTGGACCCTGTGAATGCGAACTCATTTGGGGAAAGGGTCCTTGCACATGTAATTAGGGTAAAGATCTCCAGATGAGAAGATCACCCTGGATAATCGAGATGGGTCCTAAAGCCAATGTCAAGCATCCTCATGAGACCTGAGACGGACACAGAGGGCCGTGTGAGGACGGGGCCGCCGCCTGGAGTGATGCAGCCACAGGCTCAGGATGGCGGGAGCCCCCGTGGCTGGAAGGGCAGAGAAGGGAGTCTGTCCTGGAGCTTCTGCAGGGAGCCGGGCCCTGCTGACCCGCTGATTCTGGACTCCCGGTCTCCACAGTGGGAGACCCTACTCCAAGCTGTAACGTCTTCAGTGTTTGCCAAGACCGTGCTAGTGCGGGGCGATGCGCCTCTCTCCAAACACGCGGGGGGTGGGTAGTGCAGGGGCGGAGGGCGGCGGAGAGTGCGGGGCTGGGGGGTGGCTGGTGGGGGGCAGGCTCGAGAGAGGCTGGTGTGCAGCCCTCGCCCTGGCCAGCCCTGCTGCCGGAGTCAGGGACAGAGGCCAGGAGTCGGCAACCCCTCCCGTAAGGGGCCGGATGGTAAATACTCAACGGTGTTGTTGCGGCACAAAGACAACCCAGGCAACAAGGAAGCTCATGGATGCGGCCAGACTTGCGGGCTCAGGCCAGACCGTGGGCAGGTGTCCTCGGGGGGAAGCAGGAGCACGGCGCTTTGGAGAAAAGAGGCCTGCCTTGGGTGGGGTCCCCCAAACCGACAGGCCTCGCAAGGTTCCCGGGTCGCAAAGCTCGTGGTCCAGGGTCTGCGTGGTGGTGTGGGGGGGCTCCGTCCACCGTCGGGGGGAGACGGGCTCGCCCTCTGAGGCTCCCGGCCACCACCTCTCCATCTGCTTTTGGTTCCCAGTTCATTTGCACACAAACACCAAGCAATTTAAGAGGGAAAAGTTAAAGCTGGCCCAAGGTCACTTTAGAAAGTATCAGGACCACCTGGTAGCTTCTTGCTCCAGGGAGGCTGCCTCCCACTCGGGGCTCAGTGTCCTCCTCTACAAAACGGGCTTAAATTTAATCCAAGGATTCAACACGTGAGTTCCCGTGAAGCACGTTAACAGTGCTCAGTTGGGGAGGGGGTGCAATTACGGTTACTTGTTCCAAGGCGGCCCCGAGGGTCCCAGCGGGCTCCCCTGAAAATGGATGAGCCACACAGACGCCCAGAAGTAACCGTGAATCCGACTGTCCCAGGTGGAGGAGGACTTGGAGCTCACCCACAGCACGGACGGCAGGTGCCCAGCAGGCATCCCCGGTTGGTCCTGGCCCTCCGTCCCGCTGGATGTCACCACAGCAGCGGCAGCAGCAGGCCGGACCCCACCCTCCTGCCTGCGTGTCCTGGGCTCCAGCATGCGCCTCTCCCACACGCCCTGCGCGCCTGCACCTGGGCATCCATCGGAGGCTCACCTGCCGCCACGTGCTCGCTCTGCCCTTGACCGCAGTGCAATTCCTCCCCGGCTGTGAGCCACAGGTGAACCCACAGAATAGCTGCGAGGGGGCCGGGGGGGCGTCAGCTGGCCATGAGTTCAGTCACTCGTCTGGATGCCCGGTTTCCTTGTCCCACAGCACGCGCGCGCACACACAGGCACGCGCGCGCACAGGCACACGCGCAGGCACGCGTACACAGGCACGTGCACAAGGCACAGGCGCGCGCGCACAGGCACAGGCGCGCAGGCACGCGCACGCACAGGTGCGCGCATGCAGACGCGCGTGCACAGACACGCACACGCATGCATGCAGGCACACGCGCACACACAGGCACACGCGCGCACACACACGCACGCACACACAGGCACACGCGCGCGCACGCACAGGCACGCGCACACAGGCACACGCGCGCGCACAGGCACACGCGCGCACACGCACAGGCATGCGCGCACAGGCACAGGCGCGCACAGGCACGCGCACGCACAAGGCACATGCGCGCACACACAGGCACAGGTGCGCACAGGCACAGGCGTGCGCACACAGGCACAGGCGCGCAGGCACGCGCACGCACACACAGGTGCGCGCATGCAGACGCGCGTGCACAGACACGCACACGCACACACGCAGGCACACGCGCACACACAGGCACACGCGTGCGCACACACACGCACGCACACACAGGCACACGCACACACAGGCACCCTGACACCGCGTAGAGTACACACACGGCAGATGCTGCACCGAGCCAGCAGGGAAAGGGCTAAAAGATCACACTGAGAATGTTCTTCTTTTTGTCCTTCAAAGAGTTTAACGCCGTCCTAACGGGAAGCCAGGTCAGCTTAGATGTTTCTCAGGGATCAGAGCGGGCCGGCAGGGGTGGGGGCGGAGGTCGTCCGTGAACGTGGGGGAGGAGCCGAGGGTCTGAGAACGCGGGTCCCTCGGTGGACGGTGCTGCGTCCTGTCTCTCCCCGGACTGCGTGCAGCACAGAGCGCGGGGCAGACGGAGGAACGGGACGGTGAGGCGGAGGGAAGGAGAGGGCTAGGGCCCCCGGGTCGCTCCGTCTTGTTCCGACAAAGCTCCCCCTTTAGGGCTGGTGGGTCATCACGGGTTTCTGTGGAGCACAAATACACACTCACATAGTTGTGCAAGATGGGTGTGCACACAGACACATGTGCAGACACCTGTGCACACACGCACAGACACGTGGGCACGCAACAGATATACAAGCGTGCACACAGGCATGTATACATGCACAGACACACGTGGGCACGCAACACAGATATACGAGTGTGCACACACAGGTGAGCATACACGCAGAGACACACATGTGCACGCACACACATACGAGCATACACACAGAGTGCACACACACGCACAGACATGTGGGCACGCACAAATACGAGCGTGCACACACACACACACAGGAGTGCACACAGCAACACGCAGACACACAAACACATTGGTCAGAGGTGCCGGTCAATCCCTGTGCAGTTTCTGCACAGCGACTCTGCCTCCGCTCCCCCAGCTGGGTTAGCGGCAAGGCTCTGAAACACAAGGAGCTGTATTCTAACCTGAAAGCATTTAGATTCTCAAGTCCCTGTTGGCCAATTTCTCATTAGTGGTCATCAGCCCTCCGTCTGGGATGGCCCTGCACTGGCCACAGTCCCGACACCTCCTTCTGGTTAAAGTGGGCTTGCGGGCACCTCTACCCTGTGCCATCTCCCCCTACACACGTCCCCTCGTCCCCTTGTTGGGGCGGCCAAACGATGGCGGGGTCACCCACCTCCCTGTGGCCAGCATAAGCTCACACACTTAGGATCAGCCTTTTTGCTGTAGTTGTGCATCCCCGGCGTGAGATGCTTGGAAACCCTTTTTTAAGAATGGAGTTCACGGAGAGAATAAAGCGCCGGCAAGAGGTGCGAGTGGAGAGCCACCGGGGTCGCGGGGGTTCGGGCCTTGACTGTGGCCACCGGCACTGAGTCGTCATGCCCATCCCCAGGCTGTGGGCGTGACCTTGAGGTCCTAAGAGATGGGCTCTTCTGAGCTGTCACGGAGCCACGTCTGCGAGGTGCTGCTGGGGTTGCCTCAGGCAGGCAGCGCCCATGCGGGGAGAGCTGGTGCTTTCACCGGCTCTCGAGAGGGGGAGCCAGGACGGGGCACTCTGCAGAGCGCTCTCTCCCATGGAACCTGGGGGACAGCCTTAACCCCAGCATCTGCACATGTGCTTTGCTGAATGACCTTTACAGCACTCGTGAGCTGCTGGGGCTGTGAGGACAGTGTCCTCTCTCTCTTGTGGATGGTCCCCTCCCCCGAGCGTCCTGTCTCGTGGGCGGTCCCCTCCCCTGAGCATCCTCACTGTCTCGTGGGTGGTCCCCTCCCCTGAGCGTCCTCACTGTCTCATGGGCAGTCCCCTCCCCCGAGTGTCGTCACTGTCTCATGGATGGTCCCCTCCCACGAGTGTCCTCTCTGTGTCACGATGGTCCCCTTCCCCAAGCCGAGACCCACCCCAGGGTAAGCGGGGACCCCTATCACTGGTATATTCTGGTACCTTTAAGAAATGTTTTCAATTTTTCTATAAATATTTTGCTGATTTCACTTGTTAGTTTATCCCCATTTTCTCTGCTCTGGAGTCTTAACACCAACGTGTAAACCTGACGGGTCAGGGAGTTTCCAAGCCGCCTCAGGAGGGAAGAGACAAGCTTACCGCAAAGCTGTGGTTGGCCACCCCCTTCCGGCTGTTGGGGTTTCTCTGTGTCAGGGATCCGCGGTACACCGACTGCCGACCAAAGGAGGCCCCGTCTTTACCTTCAGGGGCACAGAAGCATGTCAGCAGCTGTGCAAACACACTTCTTTCTCCCTTGCCTCGGAGCGAGCATTAAAATCCTCTCTCTCCTATCTCTCGGCTCCAGAAATGCTCCCTCGGGCGAAACACAACACAACACGCCATTGCGTTTCCTTTAATTCTTGAAGTGCCACGGGCCTGGGGGGTCTGGGAACCCTGCCCCTCAGAAGAGGGTCCCCCCCAGGGCTTCGGTCGTGTAGCTGCGGCATTTGGTCTCACATCCTAGTCAACTGTTTGTGTTCATGGGCACAAGTGAGCAAATCCCGGGGGTCTTCCTCCTCTGGCAGGTGTAGTGGGGGCCCTGCCTGACATGCACCTGCTCTTGGGGGGGGGGTGTGCTGGGCCACGTCTCCTCTGCCCAGCCCCGTGTCCCTTGACGTCAAGGTGGCAGCTTGACATCAGCCGCGGCGGAGTGTTTACAGCACAGAAATTGGCAGAGGCTACACAGCAGGGCTGAGTGTCATGTTTTGGCAGGGGGGCTGGCAAACGAGCTCAGGGTTCCACTGTGGGCAGAGAACGAGTTGCTGGGCTTTGCCCCCCTTCCTGCTCCTAAACTCTGTGGAGGGTGCTGCTAACCCAGCGATCCCAGCTACGGGGCAGTGAACCCTTCCCGTGTGGGGACGGACGTCTGGCACACGGGTGAGAAGCCACCCCGCCAAGGCTGGCCGTGGTGACCGGAGAGGAGTGTGGGGACCAGCAGCTGCAGCCGGGCCGTTTAGTCCCTGGAAAGCCCGCCGGCGCCAGGGGGCCCGGGACCAGGTGAGTGGCCTCTGACTGACCAGGCGCTCGCCCCGTGGCCCCCCGCTGCAACCGTGAGCCTTCACTTGGGTGGTAGCCCCGGGGCCTGCTGGAAGCTCCCCCCGCTCCGCGGCAGGTGGCCTCGCTGACAAAGTCCGTCACCCCGCTCGTGGCCCTGAGTCAGGGATTCGCCTCAAAGGGCCTCAGGACCAGCTCTGTCTCTGGCCTGACCTGCCCGGGTACGGGGAGCTCTGGGGTGCAAAGAGGAAGCTGCATGGAGGAGAGCTGGGTGCAAAGAGGGCTGTGCAAAGATGTCCCCTGAGGAGGTGGTGGAGAATGTTCTGGAGGTGGTGGAGAACCTCCTGGGAGGGGCGCTGCACTTGGCCTTCAGAGGGCAGAGGCGGGTAGGAAAGGGAGCGAGGAGCGCTCCAGGCAGAAGGCCCGGCCCAGGCAAAGGTACGGAGGTGTGTGTGCACAGAGCGCTCGACACCCCCATGTGCCTGTGAGGTGTGTGTTGTTCACCAGGGGTCCCGTGTGGGGCAGAAAGTGAGGGTCTGGAAGGCTGTGCTAAGAAATCCCACTCATTCTGCAGGCAGGTGGGAGCCAACGATTGTTCGGGAGCAGAGGAGGAACATAGAGAGCTCTGTGTGCTGGGACCATGGCTGTGGGTGGTGAGGGCAGAGCTCAGATGCAGGGACAAGAGGAGATGCCACAGTGGCTCAGAGGCCTGACACAGCAGCGGAGGGACTGGACCCTGACCTGGGAAAGGGGCTGCTTCCCTCTGTGATCCTCGGGCGGGCTGCAAGGGGAGCAAGACACGATTCCCCGACAGCCCGGCCGTGCACCGTGGACGAGGCAGCCAGGCCTATCACCCTGGTCGTGGAGCAAAGTTGATGTCCTGGTCACCACTGAGACATCAAGGGAAGCTAAGTTACCTTCTGTGCTTTGCATGAGAAGGGTGATAAGCCTTAAGCCTTAGAGCAGTTTACAATGCAGAACGTGGAAAACGCCAGCGCCACGCCCATTGCGTGCTCAACCAGGCGGGTTCCAGAACACCAACCCACTGGAATGCTTCCTGGCAGGAGCGGCTCGGGGAGTCATCCTTCAGGCCCCGGGGGCATGGGATGCTGTGTCCCAGAGATTACACAGAAATGCAGAACCCCCACTGGCCACTTTCACACCCTCGAGCTCATCTCCCAGGCCCTCGGGGTTGAGGGAAGCCGCTAACTCTTACCTTGACTTTTCGGGGAATTACCGAACTTCCTTCTGAGAAGACAGGGCGCTGTCATCACCTAGAAGAAAGACATCTCAGGGCTTCGCTGAACTACTGTAATCCTTGGCAACACTGGGAGCTAAACTGGGACTTCTCACGGTTCTTCCAGATTCTAGTGAATCCGGTCAGCTGTCTTCTGTTCTTAGGCAATATCAGAACTTTTGTCAGTGTTAAAATACACGGTATCAATAAATGAAGCACCAAACGCCAGAGCATAAAAGAGACGCGTACGTTTGTCAACGGTGGGTGGGAGGGCAGGGAGAGCACGCATCTCAGCCCCGCAGACCTGGGTTCAAATCCAGGTACCCCCACCCACCCCTGTGATGTGGACGACTGTGTGTCCTCTCTGAACTCGTCTGGAAAAGGGGCCACTAGCCCCTTCTCGGGGTTACTGGGAGACTACCTGCTCCTCACATGTCCCCAGCGCCCATGGCTTTTGGTCCCCATGCCTTCCCTTCACTCTCCCGTTGACAGCCTCTCCGTGATGGCATCGTCCGCTCCCTGTTTTGCCTCTCCGGGCACGAGCAGGTGGCCTGACCCCCCTGGAAATCTTCCCAACGTCCGGCCCCCGAGATTCTGCCTGGCTGGTTTTGTGGGCTGCACCTGGAGGCCTGCAGGAGAGGCGTCCGGGGCTGGGCTTCCCTGAGCCAGTCAGGAAGCACCGTGGTCCCCAGAAGAGGGTGGGATGTCAGGGCCAGGGGGCCTGGGCCGAGACCCCTCCGTCCCTTATGGTCTGTGTGATCTCAATCAAGTACGTCAACCTCCCTGAGCTTGGGTTGGCTCATCGGGACAACAGGCTTAATCCCAATGCCTCCTCAACCAGGTTTGTGAACCTCAAATGGAAGAGCAGTTAAAGCACTGTTTCTACCTGTAAAGAGCTACCCAGTGTCCATATCACGATACACACGTGACCGCGTGTTCGCTATGGCTCCTGGGGGCATCAGGCAGCAGGCAGGACTGAGACTAGACGCCACTCTTTCTGGGGCACCGGGGATGGCGCCTCCCACCGCACCTCTAACCGCACCACCTGCACCTTGGAGATCGGGCTCACTCCCGGCTGGCGCCTCCCCTGCACGCTGTGAATGGGGCCACCGTCTCCCACACCCCTGGTCCCCGTGCCACCGCATGCGCCCGGGTTCCTGATGCGTCCACTGCTAGAGCACCTGCATCTCCCAGATGGGGCCTGTCCCCAGGTCGCTGGAGCCCGCCTGCCTGCGCAAGGCCAGGAAGAGCCCGGAATGGACAGCGTCCATGAGTGACGGGCGTGCAGGGGTGCACGCGGCCTCCTTGCCCCCACGCAGGACAATGCCCAGTGCGTCCCTCTGAGCCAAACATACCTTGCGTGGGGTTTGCCTCCTTCCCTCTCTGCCCCACCTTCCCGCTCCCCACCTGGATTTTCCTGGGTTTCCCCCACAGTCTGACGCCAACCCTGTCCCAGCACGCGCCTCTGAGGACGCTGTCCTGCGGGGCTGGCGGAGCTCACTCAGTCCGTACGGGTCAGCCCACCACCGCCCGGGCTCATCCCGCGACTGGAAGAGCCGCCCCACTCTCTTGCGACGACCCATACCTCCTCCGCAGGGTCTGCATTCGGATCCTTAGGACTCTGGTCCAATCTCCCAGCAAGTCGGGGAAGAAATATCTGGAGGACAAGGAAAAAGCCTGTATCTGATGGCTCCTTGTTTGACCCCCGTCACAGGGGGGCAGGCGGGACAGAGGGACGGCCCTTCTCCCTGAGCACGGGGCCAGGCGCTCAGGGACGGCCGTCAGCCCCCAGCGCACCAGGTTCAACAAAGTAACACACAGAGTAGCCAGTTAGCTCTGAAGTTCAGATAAACAATGAATAAGGTTTGTTTATAAGTATGTTCCAAGTATCGCACAGGAAATACGTACGCTCAAAAATGATGTGTCATTTATCTGAAGTTCAGACGTACTGGGCATCCTGTATATCACCTGCAGCTGGACCTGGGGCTCTCCCGGGACCACACTGTGTTCGCCTGCCAGGTTACCCCACCGGTGTGACCGGCCTGGGGACCCCAGCTTGACTCTGGGGAGAAGGATGTTGGTCCCAGACCTGCCGCAGGGCTGGGGAGGGGCAGCCCCCTCTCTGCGTCCCCGGAGAATCTGTTCCAGTCACATCCAGCCAGGCAGGCGAGGCCGGAAGGGAGGCGGCCAGCCAGCCTCTTGGTTTCAGGCCCCGGGGTGGGGAGGGCAGCGGCTGGGGGGCTGGGGTGGCTGGGGCTCTGGGCACAAAGCTGGGCGCCGGGGCCCCTGCACTCACAGGGAGGTTGGATTTCCTCTGGGGCTTTCCCGATGCCTTCACCGAGAGCCCTGCAGCCTGCAAGGCAGCAATCTTGGACTTGATGTTGGAGACCTGGCAGGAAAAAGGACAGACACATGGACGTCACTCTGATGTGCCAACTCGACATCACAGTCCAGGAAGAGAAGCTGCCCGTTCACTGATTTTGTTACGGTCCCCTTAAGATAGGGGTCCCAACAGACGTGCTTCCTGGGGGCCCATTTTCATGCATCTTCCATGGTTGTCAGGGAAGGGGCTGCTGTTCCTTGCAGGTCACCCTCCAGACAGGAGCAGGGGGGCTCTGCACACTTTCGGCACATCAGGAAGCCTGGATCCCCGCAGGCATGGCAGGAGGGGCAGTGCTGGGAACCATGTCACCATAGCTCTAAGGGACAGGGCTACACTCTGGGCAAAGGCTTGGCTGGCATCTGGCAGAGCCTGCCTTCCTGACGTCATTTTAAATCGGCCCCCACAGCAGCCAGAGGAAACTTCTGGAAGCAGAAACAAGGCCCCATCACCCCTGTTCTAATCCATCCAACGGCTCTCTGGACTCTGCCCTCCTCTTGGACCTGCCTCCTACCCTCTCCCCCTCTAATCCCTCTGCCCCAGGCTCAGGGTTTCACTGCTCCTTCCTGAACACGCCAAGTTCAAGACCACCCCAGGACCTTTGCACATGTGTGCTGTCTTCTTGTAATAACCCTTCCTGAGCAGCCCACCTGGTGGCTCCACCGAGCCACCCTCACTTCCTGTTTGCACAGCTTGCTTCAAGAACTGTGCTCCTTGGCCGTTGGCTTGTCCTCTATCTCCTCCCACGAAAGCATAAGCCTCCATGAAGGCAGGGGCTCCATCTAAGAATGCGCCAGCTGTGTCTTTTGTGTCCTGCCATTTTCAGGAGTTTGAAATCATTTGCTGAGCAAGAAGGAATAAAAGAATGCAAAGTCCTTGGGCTGGTTTGTCCCCCTAATGAGCACAGCTCTGGAGACACGCTCCTTACTCCCGGTGGGCACCTGCTGATGAGCAGAAGCGAGCAAGGGCTGTGGGTGTTGGCTCCCCTTGCAGCCTGAGGGGCAGACCCTCTTTTCTCTGGGGGTCCCCAAGGGGAGGGCAGGGCAGAGCCCAGTCACCTCGGCTGTCCCTGAGAGACCCTGGCTCTGTCCTTTGACCTTTGTACACTACTGATACAACCCTCACCCGAACTCAAGTCCTGGACCCACACTCGGGCTCACAGGATGGCCCTTGTGTCAGAGTCTGGTCCTGAGCCCCAGCGCTGTCCTCAGACCTAAGCCTGCTTCTGAAGAAGCCCCCTCCTGCTGGGATAGGGAGGGGTAAGCGTCAACATCATTCCTGTAGGGATGAAAACCCTGCTTGCCTCTCACCAAGGCAAATGGGACGAAGACAGGGGTGGTGGGATGAGCAATTCCCACGGAAACCCCCAAGCTCCTATTCCGGAGCTTCGGGTGGGCTGTCCACAGCCTCCAGAACTTCAGGGCCCACCATGATGCCACTTGGGGAGCCCCCCATCCCCTGGGCCTGGTGCTACCTCGCTCTCCACCTGCTGAACCTCAGAGGCCGTGAGGGCCACTCTGTCCTCCAGCTCCAGCAGCTCCTCGTCTGTGGTCCTGCCGGGCTGCACGAGGTCCTGAGGGTCCTGGGGGGTGGTTTCCTGTCTGTACGCCTGGCCTACAGCCACGCTCATCTAAGAGAGGGAAGCACGGAACATGACCGCCAGCAGGAGAGATGTCAGGGCCCTCCCCAAGACGGGCCCATCCTATGACACTCTTTCCTCTGAACTCGGGTGGGGCTGGCCGAGGGTTAAGCATCCCATGCAGCTCTTGTTGGGGCTCAGGGCCGACCGTGCATTGGCCGGCTGCCTGGGGTGGGCCAGTGGCTTAGTCACAAACTCTTGCCTCCTGGGCCCACCTCTGCCCAGGTCCTGCCGAGCCCACTCGGGCGGCCTCACCTCCGGGGCTGCCCCGGGGAGGTCCCTGATGGAGGGGCTCCTGTCCAGGTCTGCCTCTTCCTCCTTGCTCCCCTCCTCCTCGGATGAGGCCCCCTGATCACTGATGTGGCTGGTCAGCTCCTCCAGCTTCCTCCTGAGGGTCTCTTCTTCTCTGTCGGCATCTGTGGGCTCGCAGCCCGTGAGACACTGAAACCAACGAACAGATCTGCGTTCAGTTGGTCATCCGTGTGCACCGTGCTCAGAGGCAGGGCTCTGGGAGAAGTCTCCACCCCTTCTACAGAAGAGCTTGCCTGCAGTGCCCGTGCTGGGGCCAGTCCCGGCCCTCAGAAACCGGGCTCTGCAGGGTGGGGCGCTCCTGGTGATCCTGTTGCCACCCAGGCCAAAGACCTACCTTTTGTGAACCAGACACTGAGCTTTCCCTCGTGGACACTTTTACCATGGGAGGACAGTTCTTCCCTCTGACCCTAAATGGGGCCCCCAAGCCGAGGGACTGGCTGGAGGACAAAGCCACCAGCAGGAATCTGGGGCCCATCACCGCAGAAGCACCAAATTCCCAAGCACTGGAAGGAAAGCTAAGGCCGCCATCCATAACATGACCTGGGAAGGGAGCGTGAAACACATTTTGACACCGAGAGTTCTAGAATACCAAGCGAAAGCTGGGAGTGGCACCAGAAGAGAGGGTAAGGGAGTGAGCACAGAAGAAGAGGTGACAAATTCAGCGAGCGAGGAAGCTGAATCTGAAAGGGATGATGCGTCACGACCAAGGGCTAGCTGTTGTCTTGCCACCGCCGCTCCTGATCAGCACAGGAAGGCGCCAGTTCATGATGCCAGGCTGCTCGAAGCAAAAGTCATTAGCTGGCAAGAGCCCTGGGTCACTGTGGGCCAGGAGGTGCCAGGTAACAACCTCAAGTGACTAAAATTACAACTTCCTCTCCCCCTGAGTCACCAGAGTCTATTAGCGCCCAGACCGAGACCCGAGAAAATCAATTCTTCCGTCTTCTTCCAAGCCCAGCAGGTACGTCTTTCCTGCCATTATCTGTGGCTCACCTTGTTTTCAGAGGGGAATGGCCCTTGAGGGGCCAATCTGCCCGAAGAAGAACAGGAAGCTGAGAAACGTCAGCACAAGTCTCGGTGAGGACTCAGAGCGGCTGCTGGTAACTGAGCCCCCCTCTGGCTGCACCGGGCAGAGAGGCGGGCATCGATACCGGGCTGCAGGAGTGTGCACAGACCGCTTCTGTCTCCCGGAGAGCACGGTGTGCAAAGGACACGTGGCCGCCACGGCAGACCCCCCGACACGGTCACTGTCAAATGTCACCCCCAGAGTGAGAAAGAAAAGCACCCCAAGACAAGGAACTGGAATGCTCATCTGGGGTTGGAGAAGAGGCAGGAGCTGAGGGGCAGCACGGACCCGCGGGCCCTCGCAGGGACCCCTGTAAGAGTCTGCCCTGGGTTTTCCCCGGTGCACCGGGCCTGCTGCCCACTTGCCTTTACATAAAGATGCGAGGGGCACATGCCGGGTGAGATGCTGGTGGAGGTGGAGTCGGAGACGGGCTCTAAGCATGAAATAGGGAATCGTTCAAGGAGGCAGGAAGGATGGCAGGTACCAGTGGGGCTAGATGCCAGGGCATGTATTTTACTGAAAGTTACTAAAGTTGTTAAGTTAAAAACTTGCTGAAAATAGACAATTCTAGTCTTTATTGCCGCCTTCTGACTGGGGGCTTCTCTGCCGGCCGTGGCTCTGGTCTCACCTGTCCTGGTCTCAGCGCCCCTCCACCGCTGGCCCCCAGCCCTCCTGGACACTGAGCCCTGGTCTGATCAAAGGTCACCTTCCTGCGTAGTGTTTTCCTCACTATTCTGTAAAAGGGGGCTCAGGCCCCAAGAAGTGTGAGCCACCCTGGGTGCAGAATGGTAGATGGCTTTCACTGCAGACCTTCTCAGGGCCTGTCACACCCTGCTGTGCTCAGGGCAGGGGGAGAGGGCACTTCTTCCAGAGACGGAGGGTGGGCCCAGAGAACTTCTAGCCTGCTGGCTGTAGGAAGCTTCTGGGCGGCATTCCAGGAAAGAGAGTCAGCTGTGCCTGAGGGCACTGACTCTGGAGAGCGCGAGACTCCACATTTCTGTTCTGCTGACATTGTTGAGCCCAGTCAATTTTAAAACATAAAACATACACCGATTCCTCAAAAGCCGTGCAAGGAAGGGCTCCTTCTATCCTTCTACAAGTCCGCTGCTTGTTTTCGGCAGAGCATTTCCTGGGGCTCGGCGAGAGGATGGAGGTTGGAAGAACCTCTAACCTTTCCTACGTCAGCTGAGACTGGGGAGCGGCCGGCACCCCACCTGCCTGTGCAGGTCCTGCCCCATGCGGGCACATATGCTGCTGGGGACAGAGTTCAGCAAAGCCTGGGCCCTGCTGGGCAGCTCCCCTGGTCACCGATGGCTGTGGGCCGTGCTGGTGGGGTGACAGCCGGGACTTTTAGCTGGTGGTATGCACTGTGGCTGTGTCAGACCCGCTCCCCCTGGGTCGTCTGAGTGCACGAGGGTAAGGGGCTGGGGAAGGCCCTAGCTCCCTGCAGAACAGCCCCTCCCAGCTCTGGCCCCCTCGCCTGCCCCTCGGTCCCCTGCCCCTCCCGCCTGCTTCTGGAACCGCATCAAGCACAATTGCACGCATCCCAACTGCTTCCTGCCTTTTCTGAACACGCTCAACATCGGTCAGTCCTTCCACCTGATAGCCCAGAGCTCAGCCCCTGGGTCCCGAGGGGAGGCTCCCCAGGCGCATCCCCCACCCCTCAAACCTCCCTGGGGGAGGGTCCCGGGAGGAGCTCTGTGCCATGCATTAGAACCTGCATCAGTCCCGGCTCCTGAAAATGGGCCTGAGACCAGCTGTGGCTAAGCTACGTCCGAGATTCTCCATCCAGAGCGGGGCCCTCCTGTCGGTTTCCTGCTTCCAGTCACTCACTTACAGACGGCCCCAATCCCACGATCTCCTCCGTAGGAGTTGGGCCTGACCCGGGTCTTTGGTGAGTCTGTATCAGGCTAGTGGTCATGCTGTCCTCGTATGAAGCACTGTTGTCTTCCCCCAGTGAAGTGTACTTGCTCAGACCTAAATCTGTCTGTAAGTGGGACCACGGTTTAAACTCAGTAAAGGGAACCTGGGGTACTCAGAGGAACCCTGTGGTTTAGGTCATAAATCAGGCTCTGCAGTGTGAGGGAGTCGCACTCCTTTAACAGGTGTTACGTATTCTAAGTTAAATTTTCTTAAACTCTGCATGACGTCTGCTAAAGGTATAAAAGGGGTATTTCCTCCTCTTGTCAATGACAGAACACTTGATCCAGTATAAAGTATTTGCATCCAAAGGAATCAAGCACTGATATGAGCTACAATATGGACAGACCTCGAAAACGTGACGCTGCGTGCAGGAAGCCAGACACGAAAGTCACGCGGCGAACGCTTCTGTCTAGATGCAACACCCAGAAGAGGCGAAGCCCGGAGACAGGAAGCAGGCTGGTGGCCGCCCGCGGCCGGAGGGAGGGGACAGGGAGCGACTGCTCACGGGATCAGTTTCCCTTTGGGCCAATGACGTTTGGGGACCAACAGGAGTACGACACTGTGAATGTACTAAGTGCGAGTGAACGTCCACTTCAGGACGCTGAATTTTACGTTCTGTGAATTTCACGTCGATAGAACAGTGGCTATTTTGAAGATATCGCACGCGCGTCTGCTACACAGGCTTGTGCAAACGAGCAGTTTTAAAGCACTGGAAGCTCTGATGTCTCCGACATGACTTGGCGTGAAGGTAAAAAGGCTCCACCCAAGGCAGCAGCAAGAAGGAACTGTTCGCAGCTGCCTTACCTGGCTCTGGGACGGGGCGTGGCCTCTCTGTCTGGAATGGCAGGAGGCCGCACTGGGAGCCCGGGTGCTCTCGTCATCGGAGGTGTCCACGGCGGCCAGATACCGGGAGGGGAGCTGCTCACTCCCGATGGCGCTCGTCCCTTTGGAGTGAGAGTGGGATCGAGTTACGCAGAGCGAAAAGCTGGAAACCAGTGGACACGTTTTTCCCAATAAGGGAAAACAAAAGATGAAGGAAACCGCAGATGTGATTACAGCCCCCAGAGGGGAGGGAGCCGAGAACCTCAGATCAAAGTCGGAATGGAGCGATGGCAAGCCCTCACACGGAAGCTTCAGGAACCAGGCCCCTGCCTGGCACTCTCGGTGGGGCCAGGGGAGCAGAGAGGTACATGGTCGGCGGGAGGATCACAGTGCACCGCATTCCACCACCGGAACCCGTGTGCCCGGAGTGTGGCCCATGCAGGGCCCGGGGAGCGTCTGTGAATGGAGGGGACGTTGGGAAGTCTTTCCACATTGGTCACTACGGGCTTTTTCTCATGCCTGACTTTATGTGTATCCGGGTCATCCACAATGTGCCTGGAAATGCTCATCCTGGACTCCAGGTTGGGGGGGGGGAGCTCACTATCCCCACGGCCTCACCAAAGGTACCCAGGGTTCCAGGCAGCCTGGATGGCACCGCACACACCACCCTGGGAGGTGGGGGGGGGGGGGGAGGAGGTGTGGCCGGGGCTGACCACATGGGAGCTCCTGCACCAGGGAGTCACCGTGCACAGCCCCTTCTGTCCTCGACGGCACCAGCCCCCACTGGCTCGGTGAGTCTTGCCAAGCACCTGAGCGAGCTTGGGAGAGGGCCCCGAGCTCCAGTGGGACTCCAGCCCCAGGCCCCGCTGGTTTGGGCCTGGGAGACCGCACGCTGAGGACACAGTGAGGCCGCGCCCCGGCTCCCGGCCACAAAGATAGATAGGATGGAGGTGCGCTGTTTTAAGCCGAGAGGTTTGTGATACTACGATCTCGTTTAGTGTCTACAACCATGCCGCACGATAGGCATGAAGCCCTCTTCACAGTGAGGAGAAATCGAGTCACAGTGGCTAAGCAGGTGGATTAAGTGGCATGCCACGTTCCACCAAACCTCAGATGGCACACCTGCGGGTTGTCTGACCCATCTTGAGACAACGCTGCCCATCAAACTCCTACATGTCCCGGTGAGACGCTCTCAGTTTAAGGGATGGGTGAAAGCTATGCTGGTTGATCAGAAACGCGGCCTCTCCCTCCCTGCCCGCCGCCCTGTCCATGTCCTCGGGCGGTGTGGGATCACGGTGGGGGGGGGGGGGCACAGATCCTGTGCACGTCCCTGTTCTAGGACTTGTTCAATATAGATTCATTTATTCACTGTTTAGGGGGAATTAAAGCCCCATGTTCCTCCCAAAATGCCTCCAGCATCCTAATCAGCCTGTGGACCATGAGATTATGGTTCCTATAATATAATGAGAAAGAAAAACAGAAAGGGGACCTATTTCCTGGCAGACGGTGTCTTAACCACTTTTCCTGGCAGCTAGCCCCACGCGGCGGCCACGTGGGGGCTCGTTAGCGGGAGGGCCAGGCTGCCTCCGTGGTCTCATCTGCTCCTGCATCCGTAGGGTGTCTGAACTCCTGAACCCACAGGGCACAGGAAAAGACAGCAATTCAGGATTTCATTACAAAGCACGCTGTCTGACAACAAAATTAAACTGAGCAAGTCTAGGTTCTCAGCACTTGCAGACCTCGCGATTCAAAGCTGGGAGCTGGTGGTGGACCAGGGGAAGCAGTGCCCAAACGGAACCTGTCCCACCTGTCCCCAAGTGTACTGTCCGTCCATAAGTGCGTCACCTGTCCCCAAGTGCGCTGTCCCTAAGTGCACTGTCCATCCCCAAGTGTACTATGGGTCCCCAGGTGCAGCGTCAGTCCCCAGGCTTGGACCTGCCCTTTCCTTTGATCAGGATGGTTGGTCCAGGTGACCAGTGATCCTAATCATTTCAAGGACACCTGCACGTCCCTACCCCGAGCCAGCTCAGTACCCTCCCTATGGCCGGCAGCGAGCTGTGTGGCCAGCTGAGGTGCTAATGCTGGGACTTCTGAGTGTTACAAGAGCAGCGCCCAGCCTGGGGGGCAGGGAGCAGGTGTGGATGGCGTCTACCAGGACCGCACATGCTGGACAGTGTGGTGAAGGAAGGGGTTGCTATCAACCGGCCAGGATGTCTGCACAAATCAGGGCAGTGGACGGGTTTTCCATGGACCGCTTCCCCCATGCAGAGCCCATCAACGGACCTACCAGCTGTGGCAGGAGTCCCTGGGGCTGTCGTGCACGACTCTCCAGGGATGCAGAGCTCAGTGAGGGTGTCCTGTCCCTCAGGTGAGAGGCCGTCCGTCTGCTCTTCTGGACGGGGTTGGCACCCAGAGGCGCTGACATTGGCCTCCTCCAGGACCGTGGCCTCCGGGGAGGTGTCCTTTGCATGGGGTTCATCCATGAAGGCCTGAGCACACGGGACCTGCCAGGTGCGTGAGGTTTTACTAGGAGGGGCAGCTCCTTGGCATGTAAGTCTTTCCATCCCAGTCTGGAGGGTTTCCCGACATCACTGAGCAAATGCTAGACACCCCTCAGCTCTGGCCCCTTGTGATTCAGTTCCCTTTACTTCCAGAAATCCTGCTGAAAGCCATTTACTGCCTACTCTGTCCCATGTGTCCGTGGAAGGCTGGGGCTCCCGAGACCCTGAGCCACTCATTGTACAAGGGAACACATCTGACAGTCTTGGGGGCTCCGACCCACCTAGAGACTGAAGCCCTGAGGAGGTGGATGGGAAAGTTATTTTTTTGGGGGGGGTGCTTTGTTCTAACTGCATGCACCTTAATACTCCCAGAAAGGGAAGACGGAGTGTGGGCAGGGCCTCCGGGAGGCCCCTCGGCTGCAACCCCAGCACCTCCTCCTCTACCCTTCCTCGGGCCGGCAGAGGGTTCTCTCTGTTGTGCCCTCGTCCCCAAGGAAGCAAGGTGCTGAGGGCTTCTGGAAGCCACATGCCCCAGCTCCTTTCCAGCTTGAGGGGGGCAGGAAGGAGGCAGTCCTCAGGCCCTGGAGGCCGCAGGGGCTGGTCTTGCAGCGGGAGCAGGCTTGTGGCCCAAAGACCACTGCTGTGCCAGCCCACTGCCCTGCTGTCCTCCCCCCAAACTGGTCTGTGGATCAGCCTGGGCAGATGCATCCCTCACCAGACGGGCGCCCAGGCACATGTCGGGCCCTGAGTCCAGGACAGACGCCGGTTCCCTGGCCTGCCCTCCTGAATCACAGGGTAGAAGCCTTACTTCTGGGACAAGCAGCCAGCCCGGATCCCCGGCCCCTCATTTGTCCAGCCTTGGTTCCCATCCCGCACTCCCCTTCTCCAAGCTGCCAGACCCATCTCTGCAGAAATGGGGAGTGTGGAGCTTCTGGATCCTGTGCCCCCAGCCCAACTCTCCCCTGGCCTGTCGTGCCCTGATGCCTGCTATGGCCATCGGAACCCTTCCCAGAGCGCCGTCCCCCACCTGGGGCCTGAGTACCTGTCGCTCAGGTTATCCCGGGAAGGATGGGGGCAGAAACCAGAGCCCACTGACCTGTAGGCTGTCTGTGGCCGCTGGGACTGGGGACGAATATGGGGGGTGACTGCCAGACCAAGTAGAGTCATCAGAGTCTGCCTCAAAGTCCAAGTCGTGAATAGAAAGGCGCTTTTTCTTAGCAGGTGCAGATGTGGGCAAGAGGAGGAGAGTTGGGGTCAGCTTGACAGAGAGGACCAGGGGCCTCTCCGCCCTGGGCAGCAGGGTGGGTGCCTCCAGGGGCACATCCACTTCCTGCACTAGAAACAAACCCGAAGGAGCTCGAAGGCAGCTTCAGGGGGCCCAGAGGGCTCCCCCTCCGAATCCCCTGCAAGAGCTGCATCCTCAGCATCTCTTAGAGTGAAAGGAAACACCTGCTCAGCCCGAGGGGCCTACGGCTGCCCGGATGTGCTAAGGACACAGGTCCCAGAGCACTGCAGCCTTGGGGTGAGGGGTGGGCAGGGCGGCAGTCTTCTCTCGGGCTGACAGGTACCCTTGAGAGGTGTCGGGCGGGGAGTTCAGGCAAATGAGGGGCACCCACAGTGAGGCCACAGAGGTGGGGGAGAGCTCCATGTTGTTCAGATGAAATCCTCCCTCACGATAACCTTGATCCTTTAAAGGTATTGTATAGGGAATATTCCAGACACTGGCTGGTGTTCTTTAAGCTCACCGAGTGGCAGGAATACAATTTTCTCACTGTAGACTGGCTAGACCTGGTCGGTGTCAAATCTCACGGACGCCGGCCTCCTCCCGGTGTCTCCAACTAAACTCCTTGTCCCCCCCCACCTGCTCTCCTTCCGTCACACCCCCCCCCAAAACCCCAGGGCATACTCTTGCTTGTCGCTCACCAAAAATAAGTTACAAAGTAAGTAAAGATGGAAATAAACACTAATAAAAGCAAGGCTCGTGGCTGGCTATGAAGAAAAGTAAAATGTTCATAGAGGGGAGTCTAAAGAGGTTCACTTCCCTGAAAGATGCCAAGGCCACCTTGGAGGACAGCAGGGTGCCCTCTGGGACCCCTGCCTGCCCTCACAACCTCACGAGCCTGCCCCCAGGACCCTGACTGGACGGGTCAAGCAAGCTTCCCTGCAGGCTCCGTCTCCCCCACACCTTGCTTTAGGGTTTCTTATGGTGACACCACGTGCTGAAAACATGATCCTATTTGGTGCTCAGTGCCTCAGAGACTGTCCGGGCATGGCAAAGGAGGCGGGGTCTTTGTGCTCATGCTGTGGGAACTGGTAGAGTCAAGGAGAGTACTGAGATTTTTAGGACATCAGAACCCCAGGCTCCAGCTGGGGGAGGGGCAGGGGCAGAGGTGACTGGGGAAGACTTACCTTGCTGCCAATGGGCGGGGCCTGGGCCACTATGTCCAGTTCTCCATCTTCATCTGTCTGCTCACTGTCTCCACTTCCCTCACCAGGGCTTGGCTCAGGCCCACCTGCAATGGACCACACACATGATTCAACCCAGGGTGAAGAAGACTGGGGGCAAACCATCCATCCACCCACCCACCTACCCATCCATCCATCCAACCCACCCATCTACCACCCGTCCATTCACCCATCTACCCACCCACCCACCCACCTATCTATCTACTATTCATCCACCTACCTACCTACCCACCCATTCATTCATTCTCCATCCATCCACCCATCCATCCTCCTTCCATCCACCCATCCACTCATTCATCCATTTTCCATCCATACATCCTTCTATCCATCCATCCACTCACTCATCCATTCTCCATCCATCCAACCATCCATTCTCCATCCATCCTTCCATCTACTCATTCATTCATTCTGCATGCACATATCCATCCATCCACCCACTGTGACACATCCAGGCAAGTCCATCTGCTGGCTTTACAAAGACCTATCCAAGCATCGGTTAGACTCGGTCTGAATCCCAGCAGAAAACTATTACTCTGCATCAATTTTGTCGAGGGTCACGCCTATAGGCATTCACCCTCTGTTCATGGACTGTTTCTTGGGCAATCTGTATCCCTGGCCTTGTGGTGGGTGAAGGAGGCCAAGGGCAAAGTCATGTTTTCTCAAACAAACTGCTTTACCTACAGTCATTTCATGTGCTTATCTGCAGGCTGCAGACACAGCTGGGAAGGAGGTGAGCCTCAGCCCCAGGGCTCCCGCCCCTCCTTTCTTTGCCCCCCAGACCCCCTGTCTCACCTGAGCACCCAGGTGGCCCCATCACAGCCTCTTCCCTCTGCTCTCCCACTGGTCTGGCCCTTGTTCTCCTTTAGGTCACCAGAGGGGACCAGGCAATGAGCTCTGGGGTTTTAGAGCATGGATCATCGGCCTTCTCTTGGGGCTACGAGGCCACTTCTGCACTGGGGGAGCATGGGCTGTGGGGCCGGGCCCGCACGTGCTGCCCCTGCACACCCCCCAGCCCGCGCCCAGGCCCTCACTCCCTGTGCCTTTGGGTGGGGGCAGGTCTCAAGCATGAACAAGCAGGGCATTTACTGGGCTTGAGCATGCCCTGTAAGCCCTTCTGTACCCCCCGAACTCAGGCCCATGCAGCGGGCAGACTGGGTGATTATTTTCATTCTCTGGACACTGAGTCTTGAGGAAATTCACCCCAGACCACCAGACAGAAGACACTGAGCTGACCTCTACCTGTGCCGAGGGAATGTGGGCATGGCTCCCGGAGGCCCGGGGCGCACGCCTGTCTGTGTGTGCGCGTGTGTGTGTGGGTGTGCATGTGTGCGCGTGGCCTGTCAGCGTGGAGCTCCCCCAGGACTGAACAGGAACAGGAGCTCTGTGCCCCTTTTGGTTACGGACTCCTTCCATCTCTCTCTCCACTTGGGACGGCAGTTTGAGCGATACTAACGCATCTCTCGAGAGCAAGCCCAAAGGATGTTCCCTGCTCCTGATATGGGAGAGAGTTCTCAGCCGCTCTTGGCAGGGAGGTGGGAAGAAACACGAAGCCCTGCGAGCACCAAGGACTTACTGTGGATGTCAGGCGAGCTTCGCACTCTGTCAGGCAAACCTGGAACCAAAGGAAAGGCACTGGGGAGAAAGACATCCTCCCGAGACCGCGCTTGAGGACGGGTTCCCTCTCATTTCCTTCCTGGCCCTGGGACAACTGCCTCCCACAGCGTCTGCCCGTCCTGCTGTGGGGGCCTCGGGAAAACACCCCTGTCGCTCTGCAGGTTCACCCGGAGAAGACCCCGGCCGCCCCCCACCCCTCACCCCAGCTGACCAGTCTGCCCGTGGCCCTGGCTGGCCAGGCTTCAAAACAGTGACTTCAGTCATTTCTATTTTTTCAGTTTGTCTACTTGAAAACAAACGCGCAACTTTCCTTCCCTGCGACCTCTGTGAGTCAGTGAGCTGTACTCCCAGGCACCCCGCAGGGAGAATTCAGCCTGGCCATCACCCCAGAACACGCGACCCAGGGGCCCAGGTGAAGCAGCTGGGAGTCGGGGTTCCTGTTGCCCCACAACACCACCTTGTCACCTCGGTGGTGACAACTTTGAAACGGGCAGGGGCTGGTTGGTTGGCGTTGGCTCCAGCAGCTCTGGACCCTGGCTGGGCATCACAATCCTCACGGCCTTTCACACAACACAGATTCCTGAGCCCACCCGGTCCCTGGAATCGGCACCTCCCAGAGCGAGGTCAGGTCCTCAGGGGTTCCAACGTGGCCTCTGGGAACAGGGCCGCCTTTGGGGTCGAGATTCTTAAACACTTTGCAGTGTGGCTCTCTGCCCTGCTCCCTGTGGTTCTCACCCTTGAGCTCTGGGGTGGGGCCAGACCAAGCTCCTCCAGCTGCAGGAAGACCCCTCGGCCCATCAGACGCACAGGGAATGTTTGTTGAAAAGAGAAAATCTAGGCCCCACATCAGACGCCCAGGGAGGAAGGGCCTGGAGAACATGTTGTATTAACCAGCGCCTGGTTATTCGACTAGCCACTGAGTTTGAGACCTTAGCTATGAGTTCTCAACCTGCTAGGAAGCCTTGAAAAATAGGATTTCAAATAGTGGGGCTGTCAACAGCATGCAGGACTTCCCAGGGGCCAGGCCGGGGAGCGGTGTGCAGAAATGCGCACCACACAGAGAGCAGCCAACCTTGTACAAAACACCCGAAAGGGACCGACAGGGGCACACACCCATTCCAAAGGATCTGCTTGGTCCTGAAACCCAAAACAGGCGTGGGAACAAAAAGCGATCCCGGGGAGAGGTGCGCTCCTCACCTCCCCCCTGCAGCCGTCCGCACAGGGAGCGGATCACTTTGGCGCTCCCGAAGCGCTTGAAGCGGGCTCTCAGGTGCTGGTGGTACCATTCCAGGGAGCCGATCTTCACGACCCTGCAGAGACAGCGAGCTCAGGCCCGCCGTGCTGTGCCAGGCGGCACACGTCCGTGCCCACCCCTCTTCAGCCAGCCCCACCGGGGGGACACATCGGGCCCTAGCACCCACAGGGTCCCTCGGACGCCAGGCCGTGGCTCACCTGGCCAGGTGGCAGGGGTCGCAGAGCCAGCCCTGCTCCTCCGGGTGGGCGTGGCTGCAGTCTTGGCAGGTGAAGAGGCGGCAGTCCAGGCACTGCCTTTTGGGGGTCCCGAGGAGCCGGTAGGGCTGCAGGCAGCGGGCACAGTGGGTCTCATTCAGGTGCGCCGTGTCCGCAAGCAGGTCCCTCTGGGAACTCTCCTTCTTAATCCGGCCCTTCAACCCCCTTAGGAAAATATCAGAAACAAGGAATCTATGAGACGCCTGCCTTATTTTTGCAACAGGTGTTAAATGTTTGCACGCATGTGTGCAAACATACACACACACAGGAACTTTTTTATATACAGAAAACGGGTCAAGGCACCCCTAGGCAGCCCTCACCATCTGCAGAGCCAGCTCCACGCTCTCACTCTCTCCCAAGTGGGAAGCCCACAAGTTGGGGGTCAAACGTGCAGTTTGGGTAGGCTGGAATGGAAACACCTTATTTTTATAGAAATGAAGTCGCATTTAAACATTTCCGTGACTCTTTACAATCATACATTTTTCCAGGCTGCATGCCCGTGACTTTCATCCAGTGCCAAAGGGCCATGACCCATCAAGTCTCAGAATCACAGGCTCGGACTGTTGTCGCTGCTTGCCCGCACCACCTAACTCATAATGGAGAGAGGAGGGACAGAGGTCCTGAACTCTAGCTTTGAGACAGAGCCCGGAGCTTTTCTGATGCACAGCCCAGAGCTCAGAGACTGTGTTCCAGCACCCCGTTTCACTGGATGAGGGTGGGCTTGCAGTCACCTTCCTTGGAGGGGGTGAGGTCGGTGGCTCTGGGGAGCCCAGCAGGGCCAGGGCCAGGTAGGGTCCTGGGGGTGCACCTGGTCAGGCCACATGGTTATTTCCAACCCCAATCTGTTGCCCACTCTAATTGTTTAAGAGGAGGTTGGAGAAGAGAGAAAATTCCAGGTGGTTCACAGGCTGGTCAGAGCTGCCACAGAAGCCACAGAGAAGGCAGAGCTAAAGCTCATTACAAGGGCAAGGCTGTGCTCCTCTCTATAGGGCCCTGCTCTGCACGCTGGCCTGAGCTAAGGGCTCTGTGCAGAGGACGACACCAGGGAAGTGGGGGTTGGGCTGGCACCCTACTGAGAAAGTGACAGGTCACTGCACTCTCCCCAGGAGGCCACAGGTGTCCTGGGGACAAAGACGGGAGGCATCTCCTCGCAAACAGTTTTGGGTCCCTTCCAGCAGGGGAGCAGGCTGAGCTGCAACCCCCCCGGCCCCGCCAGGTTTGTTCCCACAGACCAAGGCTGCAGTGGTCTGGTTTGGAGGGTGTCCAGCGCAGGAAACATCCAGCACTAGGATGTCCTGGGAAAACCACGGTCCCCCCAGACCTTCCTGGTGGGCTTGCCAAATTGAACTGACTGGGAAATGTCCCCTTTACATCATGGACACATTCCGTCTGTTCTGGATTTTAGAGAATGTCTGCAAAATGCAGTATTTTTGGTTTTCGATGAGATCCACTTAACTCCATTCTTAGTGACAAGAATCAGACCGACCCTGGGTGCCACCGTCCTGTGGGAACTCGGTGCCTGTGGTTTCTGAAGGGGACACCCCAGGGCGCAGTGGAGGCGGGAGATGAGGCAGGGCCTCTAGAAAGCTCTGGGACACTACTCCTGGTTTTAAGTGGTGTTGACTGCACTTCACTGATTCCCCGCTCCCCGCTCATTGCTCAAACACTCTGGAACACGGGCCCACAAACAAAACTCTTGTCTCAGCTTTGACAACCAAGAAAACACGGCCTTGTGTTGGCAGCAATCCGGGGGGGTGGGGAGCTGTCATCCACGGATAAAGCTGTGCTGACATCCTTGCCCCGAGCCCGGGAGCATAGGCACGTGGAGCCAGGTGCGGAGGGCCTAACCTCCTCCATTTCCCCTCAGACAGTATCTGCATCAGCCAGAAAATCTAGAGGCCACCCCTTCACCTCTCTCCCAGTGAGTGCCCCTCATTCTGCATCCAGGCAAAACCATACCCCCAGCCCAGCAGGAAGAAGGATGAGGACCTGCAGGACACACACCGAATCCTGGGGCCGGAAGTCCTCTCAGGTAAGAGCCGCGTGGGTGGGTGGTGGCTGGACACTGACATATTTCAGGGGCAATCACACCACCTGGAGCCGCGTGGGGAGGAGGTGATGGGGGCCAGAGCAATCCACACACCCTGCCTGTGGCAAACACTGGGTCGACCAGATGTCACTCCACGATGGCTGCATCGGCAGACAAAGGCCCAACATGGAGCTATCAGTTTAAGTCAGCCCCAGGAAGAAAAGACACCCTGAATGTGATCGACTGTCAGAACCAGAAGAAGACTTGAAACAAGTGTGCTTGGTGCACTAACTGGGATGGAGAGAGGAGGACATAAAGAAGGAACCAGGCTGAGATGGAAAGACCACAGGCTATGCTCACTGAGGTGGAGGAGAGATGGTCCAAACAAAGATGGGAAGGGATGGAAACTGACAATGGGCCGGAATTACCACCGTACATATTACATATCACGTCCCACGATTTAGAACTGTGGTTCTCAAGGTGTGGTCCAGGGACCTCTGGAGGTTCTCAAGACCCTTTAAGAGGCGCCACAAGGTCAAAACTATTTTAGTAACAATGCTGAGATGTTCTCTCTCTCATCTGAGATGTTATTTCTCCTGCACCGATGGTGAAGCAATGGCGGCCAAACAGCTAGGACCTTGGCGTGGGTCAAGGCAGAGGTACAAACCGGACCAGCAGTCCTTGCGGTGTTTGTCACAAAGGCAAAGAGCATGTCCTTGCTGAAGTGTGTCCTGATTCAAGGCATGTCCTTGATGCTACAGGAAGTTACTCATCTTACTAACCTTGACCCTTGAGCCCGTGTCTTTTTAACGTCCCGTGTGAAGAAACGAGAAGCACGCCCTGAAAGCATTTCTGCTACGTCCTGAAGCACCACCGAGGTCTCAATGTAAGGAAGCAGCCAGTTGCTGGAGTTCCAACATGAACCAGAATTTCTTTTTTTCATGAAGCATCATTTTTACTTAAAAGCACAACTAGAAAATAAACTATTCTGACTTGGGCGTTTGCCAGATATTCTCTTAGAAATGAACACTGTGAGCCCGTCACCTTGAGGAAAACAAGTGACGATATTTGTGGCCCATGACAAAACTCAAGCTTTCGAGCACGGGGAAGAATCTTGGGGAATTTATGTCTACCACCGTGAGCTCGACAGCATCCATCACTTAAATGTTGCTGGTGAGATCAGTGGTGACGGCCATCGATGTGATTTTTTTGGTATATAATGAAATGTGTCACCATTTAGAAACTGTATATGGTGTGACAAAACCTCACATGGATACGAGATGCAGTTTGAGTGCAGGACAGATTGATGGATTTTAATTCACTGATATGCGTTCAGATCCCACCGTGCAACTACCTTGAAGAAATCACCCGTTGCTGGGTTCCCATGTAGTAGCAAAGCACAACGTCCACAATCATCTGGGAAGAGGGCGCCTGGGTGGCTCAGATGGTTGAGCGTCTGCTTTCGGCTCGGGTCATGGTCCCGGGGTTCTGGGATCGAGCCCCACATTGGGCTCCCTGCTCGGCGGGGAGTCTGTTTCTCCCTCTCCCTCTACTGTCCCCCTCTGCTTGTGCTCTCTCACTCTATCAAATAAATAAAATCTTTTAAAAAAATCATCTGGGAAGACTACTGAAACATGCCCCATTTTTCCATCTGCGTATCAGTACGAGACTAGATTTTCTTCAAATTCTTCAGCCAAAACAACATATTACAATACATTCAGAACAAAAGCCAAAATGAGAATTCAACCATCTCCTATTACACCATATGTGGAAGGGATTTCCAAAAATACAGAACATGCCGGTCTTCTCATCTGTTTCAGGAAAAGTTCCGTTTCATAAAAATGTCATTTATGTTAACATGTAAGGGGTTTACTGTTGTTATTTTTCAATGAATGAATGAATGTTTTTTAAAATGCCTGGTTTTAATTTCCAATAGGGTCAATATTGACATACATAATCCATATGAACATAAGCTCTTTGGGGTTCTCAATAATTTAAGAATGTAAAGGGACTCTGAGGCCAAAATGCTTGAGAACAGCTGATTCTGGAGCAAGTTTGCTGCCCCAGATACAGAGCAAAGGCTGAAGGGATAGGAATGAGGAGAGAGGGGGCGGCGGTGAAATCAGGGACAGATGGAGGAGAAGCTCAGCAGAGGGGTGACCCTGGCATCAGAAACCCACAGCACTGTGCTCTGCCCGCCGACTTCCAGCCTGCCCTGGGGTGCCAACATCCAGAGCCCAGAGTGGAGGGGAGATGCCCGCTGTCCTCAAGAGAAGCTTAGTGACCTCGCAGGATGAGGCGGGTCTGGTGCAAGGACAGGACAGGGAAGGCAAGTTTCCTCTCACTCACGACTGGGTGTGGAAAGGAGAAGGGCTAGGGGCGACGTGAAGAGGGCAGACCCACGTGTCCTTGCTCTCCCCCCTTAGGGGGGAATCTTGACGGGAGCACGGTGGAAACATGTGAGTACTGGGGACCAGCCCAGGTTGGTGGTGCACCCTCCAGGGTCAGCTAGGGAGGAACACGCGGTGGCCATGGCACCCACGTCCCCCAGCAGCCGCTGAAAGAGGCACGAGCTCAGACCAGGCCTTCTGCTCAGGTGATCCTTAGACCCTTAGACCCTGTCCCTGGAGGACAGCATGAGGTGCTGAGAGGCCCGGGGACTGAGTCCAGGGTTGGGGAGAAGAGGCCGTGGCACATGAGGCTGATGGCTGGGATCAGGGATCTCAGGGGTGGGGGCTGGCCACTCCCAATGCCCGGCCAGGACGATTCATGAGTGATGGTCCTCATTCGGGAAGCTGAGCTGACCCTCCACTCTGTCTCAGGGACCAGCAAGGAGCCAGTGGGCAGTGTGTGGAGCCAAGCCCCCAGCAACTCTGTCACCCTGAGGGCCAGAAGCAGGGGGTGTGGGGATGGGGGACTCTGAAAGGCAAGACGAGGGCGTAAAGAGTCGGTGTAAGTGAGCAGAGTGTCGGACACCAGACACCAGCAAAGCTGTAGCCATGTCCCGCTCGGGCGGTGGGGGCCCACGAGCAATCTCAGACGGGCAGTTAAGGAGCTGCTCTTCTCGGCACAGCTTGGGTGGCTCTGAGTTTTGACCGTGCCACGGAAGCAGTGATCCCTGGAAGAACACAGGAAA